GAACACTCGCCGTTGGTGTGCGGTCGCGGAGCGGCGATCAGCAGAGCGGCAAGACAAAAGAATCGCGGTGGCCATGTCCCGGGTTTCTCGGCTGCCGACCGTCGCTGCGCGTCGCGCTCGGCGACGCTTCTTCGAAACGACGTGCTTTATCCTGCAACAAGAGAAAAAGAGATCGCTCGGTAACATCTTACTAGGTGAGTTATCGAGGCAATAGATAAAAGACGATAAGCGCGCGCGCCGCGATGAATAATGCATCGCCACGGCATACGCGATAATTGCCGCGCTTCATTAAAACCAGATCGCTCATTGTCAAGGCAGCAGCGAGCGACCCGCGAGCGACTGGACTAACCAGGACCTACCGGGCTCGGTTCCCAGAAATTCTTCGCGGTCCGAGCCCATTTCGAAACGGGACAAGTCCGCGGAACAATCGCGGACACTCCGCATTCGCTAAAAAAGCCGCGGCAACGGCACCGCGATCGATTTACTCTGGCCGAGGATCCCTTGTTCTGGCCGACGCTTAAAAATCCAGGAACAACACTCGAACGAGGATCGCATGCGTTCTTGGTAAACGTGGATAGGCGAGGTACAAGATCGCTAGGACTCGTGACGATTGTTGGGAGGAAGAGGCTTCTACTTAATGCCTGTTGGTTTCGATCGATGCAGAGCGTTATTTTTTGCGCGAAGATCCGCGGACTAGTTGAGATACACCGTGTCCTGGTATCAACGAGGCATCCCTGGGAATCTACGTAAATATTCATCGGAAGCTTCGGACCATTCATCGTTGGTCTCCGAGCGAATCCTACAACGGTTTCGGTCTTGCACCCGAGCGCACGGTTTTTGAATCGTACGTTCACCACACGACATACTCGTTGTCCATTATTTGACTACAACCTTCGAACGTGTGTCTCCGATAGGATACATTCCATGAAACCGGCGGTAACCGACGGTTCGCCGCAAAAATTCTGTCGTGCTCGCAGCGCGGAATGAAGACGTTCCCGAAGACGGAGGCGGATTGGCAGACCACGTCCAGCTAGTCCATCGTCGCGATAGATAGGTGTCTCCTCCGATAAACTTAGGGGAAACGTTCCCGCCGGCAAAGAGTTCCTTTGGTTACGCGATCACGATCCGTCCGTGGAAACGTGGAACGCGAACAAGAGGGGAACGGAAACGAGCAACAAAAGCGTAGAGGGTGAACCCCGAAGGAAGACGACTTCGAGAAAGAGAGAGAGTCTCGGGTATAGTGTAGCGTGTGTGGCAACGTACGTGGAAGCCAGGTACATAAGGCTGGCATGGCGCGGCGATGCCCAGGCACGTACCTAGCAACGTACGTAGGTACGTAATGGGTAGTAGCCAGTAGGTGGCAAGGCTGCGTGACGAGGCGATTGCGGACCGTGACTAAAATATTTAAAAATATGTATCTTTCTGGCCGGACTGCCGTCCAGTTCCAGTTCCAGTCCCGGACTCTAACCGGAGACCGCCGCATGCCGCGCTGCCTCACCCTCGCCCCTTGCCACGCTGTATTTATTTCGCGTTTCCTTCCTGCCAGGCCGCGAGCCGGGTCGCAACTAGCGAGGGCTGCTGCCCCTTTGCCTTTCGAGCCCTCTTTCCCTCCAAACGACTGTCCCGGTCCTCTCGTGGCCCTGTCCTTGCCGTTTAGCAACGAACCGATCGTGTCCGATCGGTGAACTGCTCCGAGGTTCCTCGTTGCCTCGTGGAAGACGAGAACGATACGAGTCTGTAGGCTGTAGAGTCTAGCAGAAGTCGCAAAATCTCTTGGTTATATTTCTAGCCTGTATCAGTGGTGCTACAATCCCTATTTCGCGAGCTGTTCTCGCATCCTTTGGTACCACCTGGCAAAAGAGAAGCAAATAAGAAATATGATCTTCTAAGTTCTAGAGTCTCGGCAAGAAGACGCGAAAGAAGAAGAAGCTAGAGCCTCTCTCGGTTCTATCTTTAGCATCTAGTGGACCTATGATCTCTGATCGATGAACTGCCATGTGTCCACATGGGATCACCGCGTGTCTATTGTTTCTCGCGCGCAACGCATATTGAGCGATCTACATACAGGGTGATCCGTTTAAGCGGACTCGGTGGAATATTTCGGGAGGGATTATAGTTATCAAAAATATGTCCCTACAAAAGTTGTTTGTTATAGAGAGAGATGTTAGACGATATAAACAATATTCTTACAAGTGTAGTGGTAGGGGAGATATTGAGATCAAATTAATATTTTTAAATAGGACCCTGTATTTTTTTATACATAATATAACAGCGTTTATTGAGACGAGTACAATGACCTACAATACGATATTCCATATAGCAAAAAAGACATAAATGGAATGTATATGCGGCGAATGAACGCAAGTCGCTAGCTGAACTCTACGCGACTGCATCGGCTAACTGCGATCCACTTAAACGAATCACCCTGCATATAACGAGTAAACTTGTACGTAATTATCTGCTCTATATTGTAGATTATAAACGATAGTTTGTTTCGCTGAAAAGAGCCACTCAGATGTTTGTAACATCAAACAATTAATTATTATATTTACAAATTTGCTAGTAAGTGAAATTGGCGTCGCTCTGGTTGTTTTATTTTTTTTTTTTTTTGAGAGGGCGAATTGAGCGAGCAATTATATAATTCTCACGTTAAACAGTGTATAAATATATTGGAAATATATTCGTTATTATTAATAAATCAAATATATGAGAGGAACATCAGGATCTTTTTTACACCCGTTACATAGATTTCTTGTCGGCCACCGTGTAACGTCTATCCACGAACGGCACGAGGCATATGGTATCGACTCACCGAGTCCACCTGAAGACCGTAACGATAAGACTATCGATTAGCATATAAAGTCTCCGAAACGGCAACATTTTTCGTTTGCAAGCACTTTTCATACGTTACGTCGAACTAGACTAAACACTGAATCGAATTAAATTTATTGCAATAATTGATGATCAGATCTGCGGTCTTTACTTTTGGAGCGAACTTCGCTCGAGCAATGCGAAGTTAGCAGCATCAGCGCCACTCGAGTCGGCGCTCGGTACTAATTTCAGCGCTTATAAGCGCCAATAGTGAATAGAAAATGAATTATCGAAGTACCTTGATGCGCCATTCTGTTCATTGTAGTCGGTGCACTAATTATGTTTAAACATTGTTGAACGAGTTGTATGTCTTCGAACAATTCCTGAACACTCGGCTCGTTCTGAACAATCTACTCTTCACGGTATAATCTTTTAAATAAAAAAAGATATCCACAAATTTAAAATAATTTAATGAATAAGATCGAAATTAGAAAAGTTGTTTATCCTCGTAGATGCTACCTCAAATGTTTACGATTTGAAAAATTCTAGTAGAGAAACTTTCGTTTATTCGGATAGATCTCACGAAAAATAAATTTCTAAAATTAGTATAAAATTCACATGGTCTATGTGTACGTAGTCTGTGGATCTTTATGCAGAATAAAAATGTTGTAAGTTAATTGTAAGAAATGGGAATGGCATACAAATGTATTTTCCCTTATCTTAATATGTCAGAAATTGCGCGAATATAATGTTCAATTCTAGTGTTTTCAAGGTTTTGTATTTCGCGAATACATTTTTTGCCAGAAATGCATAAGATAGTCTATCTATGTGCGATTCACGTTGCAGTTACGCGTCAACAATTCTACTAATAAGTACTAAGCTCCCGGTCACTTAGGATAATCCTCGCCTTACCACGACTTTTTCTATATTCAAATAGAAAATAGAAAAATTAATTACTACCCTAAAAGCAATGTAGAAATGTCGAAAAATATATGCTTGAAAAAATCTAATAAAATCATTTATTATGTCCAATATGTCCAAGATTATTGTACAATATAAAATAACCACACTGATCTTTTACCACCGCGTTAACCCTTTGGAGTCTATCGGTGCATATATATCCCACCTATGTATTTCGTACGCTTATTGGGAGAAATGAGTCTCGTTTTTCCACAATACACGAATATACCAATTTTAAAACGCATACACGCACATATTTGTTTACATCTAACCAATGGGACACATATGTCCCAGCCCCTAGCGTCCAAAAGTATAACCTGCACTAATAAAATCAACATTTCTTGTTATTAGCATCTATATGTACGTAAAACTTGGGTTCGCATACAACGCAAATTAACGAAAAATAAATCGGACACCAAAGAGTTAACACAACACGAAAGGACAAATTCGTACAAAAAAACAGCCACACCAAAAGAGAATGAACTACAGACAATCGCATCGATCTTTCTCCGTCGCGTTGCCTTAACGTCGCAAGACAAATTCGTTGACAAATCGACAGAACGCAAAAAGAGGAGTCACGTGATATCCTCGACCGGCGCAAAGGTGCAAAACGGAAGGTTCTTGGAACGGTCGATTAGGCTCGGTATCATAGTTGCGAAGCGGCGGCAGGTGAGTTGCAACAAAGGCAAGCCGGGTTGCAACAACTGCAGGCCGGACTGTAACTGCGTTCGCCGTGCCCCGGGACACTCGGTCCGTGCGAAATGCCGGCAAACGGTCGTAGCCGGGTCTGCGCGATGCATATTCATGATTCTTTTTTTAACTGATCGGCCATCACGGGAAAAAGGAAGTGAGTTCTGCTGGGCGCAACGCGTCGCCGCGCGTTAAGGACAACCCGCAGGGTACCGCGACGAGACGAAACGCGACGCGACAGGGCGCATACTAATCGTGGGCCCGGCTGTGTTTTTTTGTGACTTCCGATCCGCGACGCTGTACTCCTATATTTCGTGACCACGAGCTAGGAAACCGTGCGTAGTCCCCGATAACCGGGCTCGCCTGCGATCCATGATAAACGGACCCTTATTGCCAGGCTTGTTAGCCGCTTTGAAATTTGAAAGCATGGATGTGTCGCCGCGAAAAGAAAACTTCCCACGTATCCGACGAATGCTGTTTCACGAGCAGGTGCCGTTCCAAGCAGGTGATGTTTAACTATCCGCTCGATTCTGTTCCAGGCTTCCTAGACGAAGGCGAAGCTTCCGAAACCGACGATGAACGAAACGGAGGAACGATCCCGGATTTTGGTGAGTGTCCAAGAAAATTGCGAACTCTCGTTTCTCCCGCTGGCTTCCTTGTTTCCCTAAATAACTTTGAACGATCGCCCCGCTGGGACTGCGGAGGGGAGGAGTAAATGTCTGGGCGGGTGTACCGCTAATGGGGCATTAAATAAAAATATTCATTGGCAAACGGGACGTCGGGGGCGCTGCGCCGCGGCTTACAGTTTTATGGAGCTTAATTGTGAGCGGAACGCGAGCTCCGGCATTCATTTAATTCGTATCGCCTCGCAGCCCCTGTTCCCGCGAATTACGCTTGGCCCAGAAAAATCCCCCGGCCAACGGGCTCCCTTGAAAAATGAACCGCGGCCGCGCTGCCGTGAAATATTCACCGGCCCGTTAACTTTTCATTTCCCTCGGTTTGCCGCGATTTCCTCGCTGTGACAGATCGGCCCCTGCCTCTTCGCTCCGTGTTATGCGAAACGCTCTTTAGAAATCATTAGCGAATGCCTGGCAGGCGTTATTGTACGCTTCTAATCTTTCCAGTTTAGCAGAACCTCAATTATCCGAACCGATCAGAGATAAAAAAAATAAAAGTATAAAACTGCTAGATTTAATTTGTACTAATTTGTACAATAAATACTATCGTGTGAACATTGTTTTAGATCGATCTATCTACACGTGCAATCTCAAACTTTATATTCACTCCGATTTAATTTGTAAGTTCACTCGTCGAAACATACCGATTGTCGCAATGAACATTTTCTATTATATTCGGTGTTATAGGATTTTAATCTCTCCATTATTGCTGGAGTTGCTGCATGTGCATCGTTATTAATGTGCACTTTGCGAGCAGGACTACAGATTTTTAACAACGCCGTTATTGTCATTGTTGCTTCATGTTCATTGTCATCGGTGAACATGTTGCAAGAGGTATATTTTTCCCGTCGTTATCCAACTTGCATTTTCTTTGCTAGCATTCAATCTCAAGCCTCGTTTTCACTCGATTATCATTTTCGCGTACCGTAACACAGAAGTCGCAGCGAATACGTTCATTTGTTCATGTAAATGAATAACTATACAATAAATTACAGTAAATTCTCCCCAATTGTCCTACAGCTTGTGAACAAAAATGGACAATTTGGGAAGAAGATATGCGATTATTCGAGCCTCTTGGCTCATTTTTATAGTTGCCGATTGTCAACAATTATAAAATCGAGGATGCAAGGCTCGAATAATATGCTCTTCCAAAATTGTCTATTTCTGTTTACAAACCGAAGGAAAATTAAATTGTATCTGCTCTTCCCAAATTGTCTATTTCTGTTTACAAACTGAAGGAAAATTAGACAGAATTTACTGTACTACGAAGTTCTCCCGAAGTACCAATACCATTTGCCCGAGGATCGGCATCCAATTATATTTTGATTAAATACGAGGATCACGCGAAAGATGTTAGAAATGATTAGAACGTCGTAGAAGGAACACGTGGGACACTGTACGGAGTGTCGAGCGGAAGTCTCGAGAAACGTCGGCAGTTAGCGCCGAAATAAAATAAGGATGGAACGAAGTGAAAGACAGGAAAAATAAGTCGGCCCTTATCTCCGTCCCCGTCCCGTGCCGTTTGCCCTATGCATATTCAAAAGCAGCGTAAGGCCGTCTTTCTCTCTTTCTCATTCTCGTTTCCTTTCTCCTCCCTCCCTCTCCCGCCCCGGCAACGTAAACTCTACGAGGCATCCCCTGGTTCTCGTGGCTCGTTCCACGACCGACACTATACTTACCTACGTCCGCCACCCGCTAATTTCTAGGCTTCCTTCTTTAATTGCACCGGCACGATAATAACCGTGCGCCGGGTCTCTCTGTGTGCGTGCATTATACACTTTGGCCGGTGAACGAATCTGCGAGTCGTAGCGTTGAGGACCTAAGTAGGTGTACATTGCAGCGTGCAACGAGGTAGCACCCGCTCCTGCACCCTCGTCATCGCGATCATCTTCATTATCGTTGCGATACTTAAAGAGAGGCAACCGCATTGCCACCTGAAGCTCGCTTCGTTCTCTTTTTATGCAGCAAACTCGGTCGTTTTGGGTGCTGGATAAAAGCTATCGAACTATCTTCGATCGCCTTGTTTTTTCGAAAATGCCTGGCGAGTGACAGATGTTCTCTTAAACGGTTAGCTGTTGCAATCTCCTTGAAAAATAAGCAAGTTGCCGTAATTACACCGTGTATGTTTGATTGTCTTCATATTCCGCTTAAATGCAACGCTTTTATAAAATATGTAATTTAATAAAGAATATCAAAGTATGGTTTGCCTTTTCATACTCGCCATTATGAAATGGCAACATCCTGTGTTATGGCCAGTGTACTCGTCAAAAACAGCTAACTGGTTAACTGAACCTGGGAATTTGTAATTTCAATGTATTTAGACGCTGGTTGATCATGCTTGTTGATTTTAAAAATACATCCCAACGATTCACAATCGTTGACTATTATGTTTGTTCCGAGTTTGACCTATTCATGGCAAACAAATATCTACACTTTTATCAGTGGTGTCAATTCTTCCAATTGTGCCAATTTATTCTACGATAATATGGTCATTGCTTCAACGAATAATACTGATGCATCTAAAAAAAGAATTTCCATCGACTACTGAAGAATTTCGCGAACAAACATGTTCCAATTCGTTTCTATACAACTATACTATTAGGTCTACCGGAAAGTTCTGTCCGTTTTTGAATTAAAATATAACACACAATTTTCATACATTTAATAATATTTATTGTAGAATATACTTTCCATCGTTACTTATGACTTCTTGCCAGCGTGATGGCAACTTGTAAATGCCATTTTTAAAAAATGATTTATTTTTAGAGGCGAAGAATTCAACTAGTGCTTGGTTGACATCAGCTTCAGTTTTGAATTCTTTTTCCTGTAGAAAGTTTTGCAAAGAGGGAAACAAGTGATAATCGGAGGGTGCTAGGTCTGGGGAGTATGGTGGATGCGACAGAATTTCCCAGCCTAGCTCTGCGATTTTCCGACGAGTCGCTAAAGCAGCATGTGGTCTGGCATTATCATCGATAACCATGTTTTCACAATCGCGTCTCCCTTAATAATGACACGAGACATCTTTGTTTCAGTTTATTTAGGAGAGTACATGCGTGTAAATGCAACGATAAAGAGAGATAGTCATATGTGTCTCAAATCAACATGTGCATATGGATTGAAACCTGAAGTGACACTATCGGACAGAACTTTCC